TTCTTCTTCTGTCTTACTGGGTTCTGTTTTCTAATATGTTTAATATTTTCACATCTATGTTGAGGAGTAAGATTATGTTAATACATAAAGTATCTTCTTATGATCTTATAATACCTATACAATCTATATCTATATTCCCTTTTTCATTCCTGTCACCAACTATTTATACTTCCTCTCTTTTTCTTGATCAGTCTCATGAGAAGATTTTCAATCTTATTAGTCTTTCCAAATAATCATTACAAATCTTGTTGATCTTCTCTCCAGCATCTTTGTTTTCTAGTTCATTAATTTGTGCTTCTGGGATGATAGCACAGTTCTATTCTTTGACCAGAGTTTATATTAATGGGCTTTGATAATTTACTGGGCTATAGATTTATGTTTTGAAGTGTTCCAAATTATATTTTTATAATTATAATTTCACTACTGATATATATATTCATGAATAAACTGTCTGAAGAGCTCTATGTAAATAAACACTCCAGTAACAAACATCTACCCCTGAATTTCAGACACTAAACAACCCAAAAACAGTAGGACACAGAAAAACTTGGAGAAGCAGTGTTGCCCCAAACTCATCTATCACCTAGTGTTTTATCTGGCTAAATTTTAGTTTCCACCATTAGAAATGGTAAGTACATCTAAGAAATTCTGTATATCGGAGATGCGCTGAGATTTGAGTCTGGATTCATACTGACTTGTGCCTGACTGCCTTCTACAGCCTCTTATTTAGAGTACAGAAGGAAAAAATCAAATATCTCACAGTCAATGGATTAACAAGTGAGAGACCTTGGAGGTAAGAAATCAACTCAGACCTAGCACAGCAGCCTATGTTTCATTATTCTCCACCTGCATGCATTTTGACATTATCTTTGTATGAAAACATAAAAGTGAGGAGCTCAAATGTTTAAAAAGCACAGCAAGAGCAGAACACTTACCCGTTCCCTCATCTGCACCATTCTGAGCAGCTTCCCAAACTACTGGTTTTGTCCCACATCCATTTGTGGATGGAGAATCTGAATAATCTGCAGGATTAAACGTCCTGGGAGTTGAAATAAAGAAAAAAGGCAAATGAAGCAAGCACCAAAGCCACAAAATCGGCTGTACATGCTCTTCCCCCGAAACGAGTGCAGTTCCTTCTAACAGCCACCGTAAAAGTCTTCACCCTTGGTCCTCTATTTAATTATAGCTAATTCATCCAGCCATCAGGATGCAAAAAGCAGAGACTGCCTAGGTACCTTGCACACACCCTTGTGTGGTGGTTCTATCTCCCTAAAACAATGTCCTCTGCATCCTAAGGAATGTGTCAAGACCTGAAATCTTTGTAGGCAGAACAAGAGATCTAATGGAAAGGCTCCCGGGAAACCAAGGCCAGGATGAAGACGGAAACAAGTTTCTTTCTTCCCAAATCAAAAGTCAATTTTGGTTTTGAACGTTTTACCACAGAATCATATGTCCTTTTTTCTAGGAAGGAGTCCCTGGATAATGCAAACAGTTAACATGATTGGCTGCTAATCAAAAGGTTGGAGGTTCCAGAGGTGCTTTGGAAGAAAAGCCTGGCAATCTACTTTCCAAAAAATCAGCCATTGAAAATCCTATGAATCACAGTTGTACTGTGGCACACCTGGAGTGGGCATAAGTCAGAACTGGCTCAAGGGCAACTGGTTATTTTTTGTGTGTAGAACGTTAGGTATAGAGAAGAAGAAAAAGTTTTTTTTCAACACCTCTTCATTTTCTCTTCATTAAAATCTTAAAATACATAAGGAATCATGATTCAGAGGTTTAACATGGACCAAAATAACTACTACCTTTAAAATTTTCACAAAAGAATGTTTTTGAAAGCAAACCAAAAAATCCACGAAATAGTTTAAAGCTTAATGGGCTAGCCTTACATGTTTAAATGTTCCTGTCAGCTTTCTCCCTGTATTTTCATCTATCCTTTTTTCACAGGAAGCTCGGGCAGAAATCAGAGATGGCAAGCGGCACTACCCCCTCTAGAGGGCACTGGCCCCAACAGTGCTGCCCTGAAGCTATGGAGAGACAAAGGGCTCTTCCTGAAGCCAATTCCCTTCCTTACTTGTCCTCCATCTATATATGATGTCTATAAGATGTTGAAAAACTTAACTTTTCTAAAAATCCAGTGGGAACTAATGTTTTAGAAGCGGCAAAAAGCGGAAGAACATCCAGAAATAATGAATAAATTGCTGATTAAATCTATGTACTGATAGTATGCACATCCTTCACTACTATGATTCAGTGGAATAAAGATTACTTTCATACAAGTATTGCATTTACTTAGCATTCAAAGAGAATTTAGTTTTATCAACACAGCTCTTA